AAAAAACTTAACCCTCCAGGGGCCTTCCACAGCATTCAGTTCAAGCCTTTCTTTCGAAAAAATAAGGACACAGATCTAGAGAAGTTACACAAAAGAAGCAATTCCCAAAACCATCGTTTCTCAGTTCGAATCCTGTCCTGAGTGCTCAGGGCGCCAGTCATCTTACTCCACCTCAGTGGGGCGAAGGGGACAGACACCCCAGAGAAGTTCTAATCAGCTCTGGGAGGCAGGGCTGCTGTGTCTGGTCCAGGGAGATCTGAACAGCTGAGAAGCTGAGCCCTGACTGTTTCCATGGTGACCGCAGAGGAGCCCAGGTGCTGCCTCTAATGAGACTGGCTGATGGACCTGCACTCATGGGGAGGGCTGTAGGATCCTCCAGAAACGCAGGCATGCCAGCAAGTCAGTGGGAGATGGACACCCAGCAGCCCTGCACCCTGTGTGTCTGACCCTGGGCCAAGCCCTTTTTTCTACATTATTCATCTGTTTGTCGTCAGAAATGTATAGAGTAGATTCAAATTCTAACCCTTTTTTCCGGATGAGTACACTGAGGCAGCTGCCTTACCCTGGGTCACCAAGTTCTTAAGTGGTGGCTCCCCACAGGCTGCAGCACCTAATTCCTCTCATCACACAAAGCCTCTGAAAGGCTTCAGTTAGAGACCTTCTGGTGGTTAGTGCAAAAAAAACAAGGGGCTGCAGGCTTGGGAACCCAGAAGGGCAGCTCTCCTCTGTCCTCTAGGGTGGCTCTGAGAGGGGTGGTTAGGAAGGAACCCAGGTGGCACTGTGGGTTAGGCATTGGACTGCTAACCACAAGGGTGGCGGTTCAAACCCACCAGCTGCTCTGTGAGAGACAGATGAGGCTGGCTGGCCCTATACAGAAGTCCAAGCTTGGAAGTCCTAAGGAGGAGTCCTTTGAGTTGCTCTAAGTCAGAATCCACTCATTGCCAGGAGGCTTGGTTGGATGTGGTGGTTGGAACCCACCCAGCACTCCCATGGGGGAAAGGTCTGGTGATCCCCTTCTGTGAAAAGGGTGACCCAGCAAACCCTCCAGGGCCATCATGAGTCAGGAGCAACTTGATGGCAATTGGTTTGCTTTGTGTTGCTTTTTGTTTCTGCTTTGTTTGGTTGTGTTGTGTTGTGTGTGCCCTCTTCCCTGAAGATCGGTCCACATCGTGATTTAAGAGAGAGGCTGTGCCGGACTCAAAGTTGAAGAGTTGTTGTCTCTCTGGGGGAAAGGGGACAACTTGAGAGCTTGTCACACCATTCTATCTTTGCCCCTTACGGCCAGGTTCGAGAAAACATTTCCAAAGGTCATTTAAAAACAGGAAGCCATCCTGAAAAGGAACCTCCTGAAGAAGGTTCAAAACACTTGGGAACCAGCTCAACAGGGAGAAAAAAGAGTGTTAAAAAAACCCAACAACTTTATACTAAAGAAAAACCAAGTGTTCTGTTCAATCACATGAGTGGAGCCGCTTAAAATGTCCTGGAGACCCCAGTCAGCTCATCGAGGCTACGTGCTTGCACTGATGCCAGAAATGGAATCCTTAGTAAATCAATGAGAGCGGAGAGGCAGGTGTGTTAGTTAAAGGTATTTCCGAGAAGGAACAGCCACTTAGCCAATAGCAATCATCCACACCTTGGCATAAATTAGCATATTCATCTATGATGTTAGTATGTGATGACTGAGTGAGCACTCCACAGGGGGAGAGGGAGTGGATGGGGTCCTGGGGAGACGATGCAGAGCACGGATGGTAAGAAGACCGGCTCTGTAGGAGTTCTTGGAAGTCGGGATTAGGCTGAGGACACCGTGCTTGGAAATACAATGGGATAAGGGAATGCAATAGCAGAATGGATAGATTTAGCGTTCTTTCCTTTATTACAATTGCATTAAGGATCCCGTCTTCAAGGAGAAACTTGGGAGGGCTCACCACTTCAGAAAGTGTGTGTTGGAAAATCCAAACCCCACCCTCTTGTGCGGTGACTCCAGAAATGCCGCCCCAAAGTACAAAATTACTCAAGCGAAGGAAGTTTAGGCACCATACCTATGACTTCCACTGGTCAAATCAGAAAATGCCATCGTAATATTAAACTCTTTCATCGGAAGCACACCTGGCATGGCCCCTCTGATCATCCCTTTTAGGGTCCCATCAGGATAAAGCCAATTGGATCGCACTGTTTGGGTTTCCATAAATGAAGTACTCACTCGAAAGACTTTCTCCACTCTCGCAATGCTTTTCCCAAAGATGGTTCCAAGTTGGTCTCCAATTCCAGCCAATAAGAAACCAAAGAGTGGAATTCCAAAGATGGCATACAAAATACAAAAGATTTTGCCTCCTTCAGTGCTTGGAGCAATATTCCCATACCCTGGTGAGAGATTTTAAAAAGAGAGAAGAAGAATGGTGAGGTGGCAGAGAAATTAGAATATTGAACCCAAGAACCCACAGACTTCTCTTAAAAGTGCTACATAATCCCTATTTCGTGAGTTTTAAGGACTAAGACTTCATCTCAACGGCCGTATGACATTCAGAACAAGACCCTTTCTTTGTGTCTCTTGCTTCTCTCCTTATAAATAGTCTCAAAGAGAGCTTGGGTTTGTTGTGCTTAGTTAGATTGCACTTCCGGCATATGTGGTCACCCAGAATTGC